TGACTAAAGTGAACGATGGGATGAAACGAAATATCCAACCTTCTGCACCTCTAGAAGTTTCCAGTATGAATTAAGGCTTTAACATGTCCGGCAAAGAAGTTGCTACAGACGGGAAAACTTCAATCTACCATTCACCTGAATGTCAAACCTTAATGCGATGTTTTGGACGCCTAGGACGGAATGATTTAAGTAAAGAGACGAGGGATCCTTTACTAGTCTTAGAAAATTCTTGTGTGCTCACGGTCATCATCCAAGACTGTTACATTAAAAGACGTTCTGGAACGAACTGTACTATGTCAGTGGTGAGCCAAAAATTTTGAATTCATAAGCTACGGGAACAAATAACACGAACCCCTCGTCTTTGCGTACAGTGGCAACGACTCAACACCCTTTCGTACAAGTATCCGAAAAAAAAACGACTTAGAACGCCTAAAAGGACTTCTCAGGGCACATACGAATACGTTCGTCTCTCTCTATACATCGACCGATACATCTCTACATCGTCTCAATCCTTATAACCGCTGGTTCCTTTATAGTCCTACGCCATTTCTTCTGAGAAGAAGGGTATTCATATCGATACATTCATACTTGCAGAAACCATTCTCAATGAATATTTGAAATGTATCCAGAATGATCTGGTAGTAAGAATAGCAAATACCAACCATGAAAAGCAGTGGAGATACATCAACCTATTTGCAGCTTTGCTAGAAGGTCTCTTCGAAGGACTTAAAATGTCTACGAAACGCTCTGTTTATAAATTGAAACAGCAAAATTCTCAATGGACCATTTGGCGACAATAATAATAGACATAAAACTCTCCTAGATACAAGATCGCTCTTGTGTGTGGAATGGCAGTCACCATGGGAGGAAAAATTAGGACCTCTTGGCTTTCTCTAAAATGAAATGAAAATCGTATACCTTCTTGACGAACGCAATAAGCTGACCTCTTTTCTTCCCACGGTTACACAAATTCTCCTAAGAACAAAACAGCATAAAAGAATAAAAGGATAAAGCTCTCGGCGTTGATCAATCTTTGAAGAATGAGCCATGCATCCAACTTCATTAAGTATCGTTAGAGGTATTGAACAGATATTTGGCCTTCACGATGACTCGTGGTGGCCTACCGATGTGTCGAGCCAGTGCTACTATTCTCCTATACAGGTCTGGTACCAATTTTGTGACGCCGGAAGGATGGAGGACTTAACGGGCCTGGGGCCAGGGGGTCGATGTCATGTGCATTGCAGGGCGCCTCCGACCGCTGCGCAGTACGTGCACGCTACAAACGAGAAGAAAAAAGCGTATCATCGAAGTATTAACGTCATCGTGCAAGTTTACAGAAAAATCCTGGAGAATCTGGAAGTCTCACTCCTTAACATTATTACGTGAAAAGCATCAATGCTGACCAACGAAAAAGAGTCGAGTTATATTACTATGGAAAACGATGTAGCACTATTCAGAGACCCACTGCCATCCGACATTTTTGCGGTATAAAACGGATCAAGGACTTCGTCAGGAATTCATCAGTAGTTGTTCAAGAGGCTGTCATTCTATTCCCATAATATCGTCTAATTCGCAGACCACTAAATTTTTTGGTTCTGCGAGAACCAAACCGTAGCTAATTACAAAGGACGAGAGGAAACCAGCAGTGTGAATGAAGAGTGCAGCAATCACCTCCACAATCCGACCAGGAAATGGAGGATATAAATAAAGTTTTATCAGATAAGGATTATGGTAGCTTACACCAAGGAAGATGCTTAAGCATTGCAAGCAGTGACTATGTAAGGCAAAATTATGAATCTGTATGAGAAGCGATGGAGAACATCTGTTGTTTTGTGGAAAATGTTCGATATAGTAACATTTGAGAAGGGACAACATAGTTGTAAGGAAATAAAATGGTAAACTGCAGGGAATGCCGATGGTGAAACATGTTTTTGAATAGGACATTCATAGCACCTTGTAGTGATTCCCATGGTTAACTTTCTGTTAACCTCGGCATTAATAAATAATCCTCTGCTTTCTTCAAAAGCACCAGATTGAGGACGAATATATTCGTGAAACGGGTAGACTAGTCTGCCTCAGTGTAGAAGAACACGTAGTTCGCAAAGTTGAAGTTAAACCAGATAACAATGCGTACGTAAGACACAAACATGCGGAGAAAACTCTGAAGTAGAAGTCACCATCCTCGCACAGGAATCTAAAACTTCAGCGCGTAAAACCCTGGAGCATTCTGGATAAATTCGAAGGATTCAAAAATGAACCGCATTGAGGAATGCTTCACTGTCACGTGTGATCTCACGTATCTCAGACTTACATTATGATGTAAGAGAGACACATTACCCATTCATGTGAACTCTGTACGGTTAGACTCCACGTGGAATACTCAACCGAACACCTAAAGAAAACATTGATTATGTGAAGAAACTGTTTTACTTCTAGTATAATCTAGGTGTCATGGTTTTTTCTGCTGAGGTTGTGGAAATGTTTGGTTTGAAGAAAGCGAAATCCGGTGGAACGTTATCTATTGTGGCCAAAAAATGTAATAGCAACCTCGTTGTGCATATCAAGAGAACAGCGAATTATGTTTTACAAGATCAGTTAAAGTTTACACGAAGAACATTTGAGAATCTGCAGTATCTACAAAGATGGACTGTGTAACATATTGATGAACAAGCAGTCTGTGATCGACTAGTGTTCTTATAAACTACAAAAACGCCTACATACGTCTCCACAATGAGATAGATACATCCTAATGGTGGCGGAGAGATGTTTTTAAGTTCCGGGTTTTATGGCCTCCCAGCGGTTTACCGCCTCGTCGTGGCTGGGAAGTGTCCATCGATGTCGGACTGTGATGAACAGGGATACATAATCTCAGCAAGAGCTTCTAGGCTGAGGAGTCCGATGTTTCCATCCGGAAGCCCAGCTAAGAGTAAATCAATAACAAGAATCATGACCGTCCTGGTGTCAAACTAGTCATATGATAGCAAATCCTCCTCTGATCCACAAGAGCGACGTATGTCTGAGATGGCGACTACCAGAAGGCTTCGGCTACGCTGACCTCACGACTCTAGGCAACCATAATGGTTAAACCAACAGTTTTCCGAAGAATCGAAATTATGCTGAGGCCCGCACAACCAGTGTAGACGAGTCATCCAAGTATTCTAGTAACTTGTTATGCTCAAGCACAACAAAAGCAGCGTTGTACCTTCCTGCTCCCCAGCAACAATCTCGCCGCGGACCTCATGTAGACCAATACAATAGTCAGAAAAGATTGTTGAATATCATTCACACCTGAGCAAATGTTTGCAGTGATTTCAATGCACTTTACCTCTACCTGTTATTCTTGTGGCACGGAATATTTCTGGTTTACTTTTGTATTCGAACTTTTGTATATATATATAGTGTGTGCGAGACCTCCCAACACTTTACCGCCTTATCATGGCTGGGAGGTGTTCCTGGAAATCGGTGTGCCATGTTCAGCGAGAGACTCATCTCTCAACAGGGTTTTCCAAGCTGAGAAAGAGTCCGGCGTTTTCAACAGAAAGCCTAATTAAGAGTAAACCAATACCAGAAATCACCACTGGCCTGGTATCAAATTAGTCGCATGGTGATAAATCTCCCTCTGATCCATAAGGGCGACTGCCTGTGGTCATAACGACCTGGGCAAACTTTGGCTGTGCTGGCCTCGGGACTCCGGAACCACATTGGCTAAACTAGCAGAATTCCGAGAAAGTGGAAATTATGCTGGAGTCCGCGCAACCAGTGAACAGACTATCCTAAGATCCAAGTAAGTATTTTGCATGAGTTTGTTCTTCCGGCAGAGAATGTCTTCTTTGATCTCGTTGACGTTAGGATATTTCCTACCACAAACTCTTGCTGGTGAGGATGCTAGTAAACTATTCCGAGGTAGGCACAAAAAGTGCACTTTGTGTGTTTCCATGCAGCATATTTGGCAACAGTAGAGGCTCTCAACATTCTTGTGTTTAGATATGGGTAGAAGTATAAAATATATAGAAGAGTAGAATGTCAGAAGAGAAAACACCGCCTCACCAAAACTATTTATATTTACACTGGAGAACGTTGTCCGAAAATTGTAGTGAGAAAGTACGGATGTCATAATCGATGCTCAGCATCTTCGTTGTGCTTATGATGTTGTTCATATAACAATAAAATTAGCTAGGCGGAACAAATTTTGGTTAACTTAAACAGCGATTACAGAAAAATTGATCTCCTACCAGATCTCACGGTTGCTTATGACCTTTCACGCTCAGCGAAGTGAATATATCGCAGTGTTCTAGCTGTGTAAATATGCGCTGTGAAGTTAACGTGATGAACGAACTAGCTCCAGAGTTGAGCAGGAGGAAGCGAGCTGCTTGGGGAGCTTTCAAGAGCATCGGCGCTTTAATGAAGAGAACAAATAACACCTGACTTCGTGCCACCACTTCGACCTCTTCCTGGTTTTACGTATGCGTCAGAAACCTGGTCATTAAGAAGGCAGGATGAAACATCACTAAGCGTTATTGAACGCGCAGTCAAAAGGACGATGCTAGAAGTATCCCGTTTTACACAAGTAAAGAATGAGATCGACTTGCGCCAACGATCAAAAGTCAAAGATGCCGTTCTGTACGCCAAATCGTCGGAGATAAGTTGGGCCGCACACGTAATGCGTGCGAACGATAACCGACGGACATGAGCCGTTAGCAACTGGATCCTTCAAGATATGAAACGCACAACAGGAAGACCACGGATCCAGTGGCGACAGAACTTCACGGAGACCTTAGACATGATGGTCAACGAGGCCCTAGAACAAGCAGAACCCACTGGGTTACTCTCGGAGGCGACAGAAAGAAATGGAAAGTTTACTTGCGATCGCTCGTATCACTCGACGATCGAGGGTATGACTGGTGTGATTCAGGTCATAAAAACAACGAGCTGTACGCGACATATGTTATGAACCCATAGGTTCCATTATGAGTGTTTCTCAGCACAAATGAAGGCTACAAATGTTTCAAAAACATGGAGAGGTAAAGATCAGTCATAGAAAATTAAAACATGAGAAGATATAGAAATCAACGAAGATGGACGTGGGGAAAATAAGCTGTTGAACGAGAGGTAGAAAGACAAGTGTATTAATTTTCGAGAATTGGCTATATGCATTTAACTAGATGCACACTGCCCGTGGCGAAATTTAAACATGGTTAAGCGGCGGCCACAAAAAATCCGGCGTTGTTGCGTATAAGGGCAGAGTTGAGCTTTTCTTGGAGCACCTGGACAAAGTACGTGTTAAGCAACTGAAGTATAGCGAAGAAGTTCTGTGAGACAAAATAAACTGAGGAGTAAGTGCATTGAAATTAATGCATACGACCGCGAATGTCTTGATGTGGTATTTTCCTAGATTCGTTAGAAGGAAAGGTCCTATGTGTTCTGACAGGAGTATACTTTTCATCTGTTTCTGTATTAATTAAACGTTCGTCCTCTATGCCGCATTTATAACAAATTGCTTAGTGGAATGATACTTTAGAGTGCTTGTAACTTCCAAAGCATTTACTTGTGTTAAGTTAAAGATCTACGAGTTTAGATGATAACGTCCTGGAACTAGGCTATGGTCGTGGAAATGCATTGAAGTACTGCTTCGACAAAGTTGCAAATGGAAATGGTGCGGTATGTTGATTCAAAAAGTAGTGACTGAATTTGTGTTGGTGTTTCCCCTTTTTTGATGAATTTACACGGGGTTAACATGTAATTTATTTGGTTAACATCCTGAAAGTTTTTGTTTTAGGGTCTTTATAATTAACGTTGTAACTCGGTAAGACTTCAACCGTACATCCGAGCTTCAAACCATGACTTTTCAGCACTTTTCCTTCGGAGAATTAATTTTTTTATTCAAGGAATTAATTACTCGGCTTCTCTTCAAGAAAGTAAGAAGTTGATTACCAGTATGGAGACAATTCTAAGCACTAATTTCACTACGCTGCCTACGAAGGAGTGTTTTTGACACTGATGTATGCTGATTGTAGAATTAAAAAAAACGCCAGCCAATTGTTACTAAAGTGATAGTTGTGCTAAAAACGGAGGAACCTCCTAGTGAGTGAGTCAAGTATTGGTTATGGTGTTCAAATGATCGATGATCACTTACTTTAATTTCTACGGTACCGTCAGTTTAAAATAAAGCCATGAGTAGTTGATTGCAGGCTACATTCGAAATTAACATTAGATTGTAATGTGCCTGTATCATCTGTCCACTATAGTTTTATCGTACAACTGGAAGAGGCGTCAATAATGTCTCCACTCGCTCACGTAATGTGTGCCCACTATGCTCCTCTAGCTCAAGGGACACAATGAGCTTCATTGTTTTCGTTTAAAGCCTTTCAACATTGTCACCGAGAGAGCACCTATAAGAGACTTCTCCGACTTAGGCGTAGCGTAGATCTACTCTTGATTGAGCTTCCACAGCTAGGCACCTAAGAACACCACATACCTATGCAACCCGAAGAATATTATTTGCTTGCGAGGCTTTGTTTTTGGAAATATGAACATGTACCCAATATTCGCAGTTAGGGTTTTAAGAGAGAAGGAGGGCTGTTTATTATAAAATTTGTGTAAAAGACTGGGACCGAAAAATATGTGTTGAGGCTAAGTAGATGGTTAACGATTGCTATAAATTGCATCAAACCCAAAATAAGGAACATCATTAAGATCATTAAGTTCGTTTTCTTATTCAGTTCTGTTGAACAAATTCATTGCACTTCAATTCCTTCGTGAAAGATAGTCGAAATGTACTAGGTTGTTCAGAAATGTATGCGCGATTTCAATCTGTATTTTTGAATAGACATATCTGAACTTAAATAAACAATATTACTCGAAGAACCGTTGGAGTCCTTGCATTTTAGCCAACGAGAAGCATTTTCATTTATTCTGGTTTATTCAAACGCTGGAGGTCTGGAGGGGTTAAGCTGTTGAAAGCAGTTCGCACAGGAAGTTGCAGAGTTCCTTGAAAAGGTGGTAATCAGTAGGCGAGAGTTCCAGCAAGTGTGGTGATGAGGCTGAGTTTCGTACCCTAGTTCGTTTAGACTTAGTAGCGTCGGTAGTTCGATGCGAGGCCGCGGGTTATCATGCAGAAGGATCATTAAATTCGTGCAGAATCTGTTTCTTGAACATCTTCGATTTTCTATCTTTTCTTAGGTGTTGCAGAATAGTTGAGATGCTTACACAGAGTTCTTCTACAAGTTCTCGAAGACTTGTGGTGTATTAGTTAGTTTCAAACAGTACCTTCCATTAATCGTCGTCAGTAGCAGAAACATGTCACCAAAAACTCTCACCTACAACGTTGAAGAGCTTCGTCCACGATGGAATTTTTAAAACCAATGTTGTATTGTGCATTCGTCAAGACCTTGGTCTCATATCTCTAATATTTCGGGCAGTTTGCGCGGTACTACGACCAAATTTTTATTCGAAGTAAATTTATGGAAATTGCTGTCTTGACCTGTCGATTTCTAGTCTGTAAAGTTTGTCAAAAATACGATTTATACCGTAGTTCAGTTAGAAATGTTCAGATAATATACGCAAAGTAACCTTTGCGGTGAGATATAATAGTATAGCATTCGAAGAGAAATTATTTCTCTGACATACTCACTTGGATACTTGGACGGTCCGTCTTCACGAACTGTGCGGACCCCAGCACATATGCCATTCGTTCCTTTCTCTCGCAATCGTAGGTCATGGTAGTGGTCTTGTTCAAGCATGGTAGCCTTGCGAGTCTCATACTGTGATCTGTAAAACAACTGCAGCTGCGGATACAGTTGATTAACTTTGTTCACGAACACGTGCGCCCAACGTGTGCGTGGTCGTCCTAGGGGACGTTTGCATTCTCTTGGAGTTCACTCTACTGTTCTTTTCGTCCATTTGTCGTTGTCTGCTCTTCTTATTATGTGACCGGCTCATCTATGTTTCGCTGTCGATGTATATTCTCATGGATCTCGAAGATGTGACCGATTTCGGAGGTCAGAGCTTCGCATTCCGGCTAGATATTGAGAGTGCCGGTTATATTTCAGAAGACATTGCTCAAGCGCTCTGTGAGTAGTCCGATTCATTCTTGACGTTGTTGAAGTATCAACCCACGTCTCCGCAGCATAACAAAGCTCTGGGGGACCGTAGAATCGAAGAGATGAGCGCAGATTTTCAGGTCTTTCAGTTGGTCGGTGGCTTCTTTGAGAGGTCCAGATGCGGCCCAAGCTGCTCTCTTTCTTCTGTCTAGTTCCTCCTTCACGTTGCTTTCCATGTTCATTGATCGCCCAAGATGTATATACGAGGTGGACTCTGCAATGGGAGAGCTATCCAATTCAATTTTTTCGTCTTCGCACCATGGGTTTTTCGTGAATGCTTTCTCTGTGTGAAACATTTTGATAAAGTTTCTTTAACATATGCAAGGAAAATGAATTTTCAAGTCATGCACTAATTCCGGAACATTTTAATCCAAACTTTTTTAGGCTTATGCTTTAGAAGAAGTACGTCCCAATACTAAATCGATATCCGAATAATTTAGAGAACTTGGAAGCTAAAGTTTTCCTTTGAATACTGTTCAATATTAGACGTACAAAATCGTATTGTAGTGATAGGAACCAGATTCAGGTATAAGTACGAAAACCGAGGGAGAATACGATCATACAAAATGATGAGATATTCTTCCTTGCACATCCATTACCTGCTCAAATTCGCACTCATCTATAGATTTGTAAACTGCTAGGTGAGTTCATCACGTCTGTTACAGGTTTTTGGGATTGATCGATCTTCATATATGGAGGACTGCGCTCGGTACCGATTCGCTTTGGAAATAGCAGAAACTGGGAAGATCAGGCTCGATCGTGTACTTTGTGCTTGTTTTCTCACAGACATTTTTCATGTTTTAAGTGTTTTTTCCTAGGCACCAGACTTGCGCAACCTACCATATCCCTCCGAGGTGTTCAACCATATCCTACATGTTGATTTTTATTATTTCATTCACCATGAAATAATGCCGTATATCTGTAAAGAATTATGGCGTGTTTTGAAACCAGGTGGAACGGTGATTTGTGGAATAAGTTTTGATAGGTGAGATCTTTTATTTGATATGATCATACAATTCTTTTTCTCTTTCTTCTGCACTTCTTGAATCATTCTTCCGACTTTGTTCTATTTTTGTTAAATTTATGTTTACAAACTCTAGTAAACATTGTGTTGAGCGCCTTTCGATACATACTGGTGCCACTGTCACGCAAACAGAATCCTCCCGTTGGTCAACCATCGAATCTTATCGTGTGTTTCTATTAGTTCTATATAGAGATTTTCTATGAATCATGTCTTTAGGTTGAAAAAGTTATCACATTGGGGTTTACTTGAAGATTCGCAGTGGGATCCAATGAGATACATGATTTACTTGGAACCTGCAGGATTTGTGGATGTCAATGTTGGTATAGTTTTCTTTTATTTGGAAGGATTGGCCATGTTGGATGAAGTATGAACAAAGGAGAAAACGATATGTATAGAACGTAGACAGTTTATCGACTGAGAACTTTCGCTTTCTAAACTTTAGTGAGAGGAAATCCCTCAAATCGCCTATCGAACGTAAGAATTGAGTTGTCATATTCGATTTTATAGATCGAATACAAATCACGCTCTAAAGGCAATCAGTATCAGATGATATGCGCTCGTAAACCGCAAATTAATGAGGTACGAAGTTGTGCAGTCGATTTCTATCTGTTTACTTATTTATTAATACGTTGATAAACCACGCAGGAAAATCGAAAAAAAATCGTTGAGTAGTAAAAAAGGTGTTTTCGGAAGTGTTACTGGGAAGTACTATGTTCGGATTAATTAGTGCTTTTATTCTAAACCATCGTCATTTTCATTTATACGACCTTATCGTGGTTGGATGATATTCCTGGATATTGAGCTATTGTTTGCAAAGAGAGTTCCATCCCACTAGTACTGAGATTTCCTAAGCAGCGAAGTTTGACATTTCTATCTGGAAACCTAGACAGTTGTTAATCATTGCCACGTCATAGCTCGGAAAGCTAACAGTAGTCATCTTCTCTCTAAAAATAACTCAAAAGACCGACTCTCTATATACGTCGGCATAAGTAGTTGATATATTTATCTATACGTTCTTATAAACCGATCTTTTCGAGACGATGCAAGGTAGGTATAGGTCGTCGTTGTCGTTGTCGTTGTTGTCATTGTTGTTGCTGCTGGTGTTGTTGGTCGATCGCTAACGTTTCGGCGATTTCGCCTTCCTCAAAGCCTAGACGTATTTAATGTAACAGTATTCTTATATTCGGTGAAATATTTGTAGTATTAATGAAGATCATACTTTCAAATAGACGCCATATTGATCAAAAAGGCTACTCACCGTGCTGTTTGGAGGGGCAGCCTGCGTGTTGTTCACGTGGGTCGCTAGCGAAACCCACCCAGGTTAGAAAAACATTTCGAAACAAGGCGCCATATCGCGTGTGATAGTGAGGCATTAGTGTTTCCGGTTCATCTCCGGATTTTTGAAATTTATCCAAAACGCCTCAAGAGTCTTGCGCGTTGATGTTTTCGATTCCTGCGCTGGGATCCGCACAGTCACTTCAAAATCATCGCCATTGTGCTTTTGTGCCCTATTGGTACCTAGAGGGGTGCTTTGACGAATTCTAGCTTACCCATCTAGGTGTTCTTTTATGCGGACATAAAGGGGTTTATCCGTTTCCCCAATATATTCCTCACCGCATGCCTTACACGAGATCAAGCATATTGTACCAGACCTCATGCATTTCCCTTATCTCCCTTTAGAACAGATCATACAGTTTCCTGAGCTGCATAAACCATCAAAGGGGTGGTTTCGAGCTAACTGACTGTAGAGTATTGGGTGGAAACTCAATAATCGCTGCATGATTTTCACGGCCACTTTTTCTTAACCACCTCTTAATGCCGTAACTTATTTCATTTGATATGAAAGGTAGCTCGAAAAGCATCTTAGTTACGTTTGAAACATTATTTTGGGGAACAATTCTACCTTTTTCTCTGACCCGAGTGTCTTCTGCTTCGTAGCCATTGGAAATGGCTATTTTTCGTGCCAGGTTTAGCGATTCCTTCCTTTCCTCATCTCCTGTGCACACAATTTTAGCCGTTCGGTACATGTTTTTCATGAGTGTTTTTTCATGTGTGAAGCATGAAAAGAGATGTAGTGAACTAGCATATTTTTGCTACTTGGCTCACGATGCCATTTTGTTATGTAGCCACTTTCTGAGAGCTTTATTTGAATGTTTAAGGATTAAAGCCAGATTTAGGTTGGTTTTTTATAAATCTAGTCATAAGAAGTAGTAAAAATATATAAATTCACTGCCTCTCCTTCCTGTAATCATTAACACATGAAAAAGCACTCATCAAAAACATGTACCGAATGGCTGAAAATGTGTGCACAGGAGAACAGGAAGGGAAGAAATCGCTAAACCTGGCACAAAAAACAGCCATTTCCAATGGCTAAGAAGTAGTAGTCACTGGGTTAGACAAAAACGTAGGGCAGTTCCCCAAAATGACGTTTCGAGCATAGGTAAGGTCTCTTTTAAACTACCCTTCATATCAAATGAGGTAAGTTACGCCATTAAGAGATGCCTAAGAAAAAGTGGTGTTGAAAATTAGGCAACGATTATTGACATCCCACCCAATACTCTACGCCGCCAGTTAGTTCGCAACCGTCTCTATGATCGTTTGCGCGGCTTAGAAAACTGTATGATCAGTCCTAACGGGAGAGACGGGGATTGCATGAGTTCAGGTATAATATAATTGATCTAATGTAACGCATGCGGTATATTGGGGAAATGGGTAGACCGCTTCATGTCCGCATAAAATAACACCAAAAGGGATAAGCTAGTATTCATTAAAGCACTCCTCTAGGTGCACATAGGGCGCAAAAGCATAATGGCGATGATTTTGCAGTAACTGTACGGATCCTAGCGTAGGAATCAAAAACATCAACGCGCAAAACTCTGGAGGCGTTTTGGATAAATTTGAAAAACCCAAAGACGAATTCGAATGCCTCACTATTATGTGTTACCTAGCGCCTTATTTCAATATGATATTTTGACTCCTGGGTGGGCTTCACTTGGCCGTCCCACGTGAACAACACGCGTGCAGTCCCACTCCTAACAGCATGGTGAGTAGCTTTTTTGATCAACATGGCATCTATTTGAAATCATGATCTTCATTAATACTATAAATATTTCACCGAATATAGGAGTACTGTTACATTGAATACGCCTAGGCTCTGAGGAAGGCGAATTCGCCGAAACGTCAGAAATTGACCAACAACACCAACAGCACCGACAATAACAACAACAACAACATTTCAAAACCGGCTTCGCTTTAATCTCGGTATTACTAGTCAAAATCTATTCTTTCTTTGAAGAGCTTACACGAGGTTGATAAAGATATTTATTTTCGGCCTATATATCGACGTCTTCGTCTTCATCAGAGCCGATGATCCGAGTCGATGGTCCTCCACGCTTGTTCCTTGTCTCGATGGGGCGGCTTCACCTTCGCGTCGAGTCAGATCTTTCTCAGCGGGCCATCTCCTCGAATGAGGCATACTCACTCGATTATGCCCTTTTATCCAGGATGCTGATGCTTGACATGCCGTTGAGGAAGAGGTGACTCGACATTAATGCGAAGCTCTATATCGAGACGACGAACAAGCGTGGGCTGTCGAGTCGGTTCACTGCCTCTGATGAAGACGAAGACGTCGAAACGTTAGCCGAAAATAAATATCCTTGTCGACCTAGTGCGAGCTAATCAAAGAAAGAATACATGTTAACAACAGCAGCAACGACAACGAAGACCTATGCGAACTTTGAATCGGCGAACAAAAAATTTTAATACGAACAAAAAGATCAGCTTATCACCTGTATCACCTCTGGTCCCGTTGATCGTCGAGTGACTCGAGCAGACGCCAGTAAATCTTCCATTTTTTCCTGTCACGTGAAAGAGTAACCCAGTGGGTTCCGCCCGCTCTAGGGACTCGTCGAGCATCACATCTTTCTTCTAGGTTTTTCGTGAAGAACTCTTACCATCGAGTAGGTAGTCTTCCAGCAGTACGTTTGATATTCCAAGAAATCCAGTCACTGACTGCTCTTGTCCACCGGTTGTCATTCATACGCATTACGTGTCCGGCCTACCTTATCTTCGACTGCTTGGCGTACAGAATGGCATCTTCGATTTTTGATCGTTGGCGTAGATCGGAGTTTCGGATCCCTTCTCTTACTTGCGTGGGACGGGATACTTCTAGCATCGTCCTTTCGACGGCGCCTTTAACAGCGCTGAGTGATCTTTCATCATGCTTACGCAGCGACCAGGTTTCTGACGCATATGTTAGGGCAGAAAGCGCCGCTGAGTCGAAAAGGTGGGCACGGAGTCGGGTGTTGTTTGTCCTCTTTACTGCATACTGCATGCTCTTCAAAGCTCCCCAAACCGCTCGTTTCCTTCTGCTCAGCTCTGGAGCTAAGTCATTCAACATGTTGATTTCCCGACCTAGATAGACTTAACTGGAGCATTCAGAGATACTTGCTCCGTTGAGCGTGAATGCGGCATGCGAAACCAATCCGTTCCTCATCAACATCCTTTTTGTGAGATTTAGTCGAAGACCAATCTTTTTACAGGCTTGACAAAGTCGATAAGCATACTTTCCGCTTGGCTAATGTTTGGTGTTTTAACGCCGATGTCATCAGAAAAGCTAAGATAGTGTAACTGCCCACCATCGACTTTCATTCCCATATTATCCCATTTCAATGTTCGCATGACGTTGTAGACGGTGGTGGTAAACAATTTTGGCGAGATGGTATCGCCTTCCCTAACCCATATTTTGACGTCAGTGTTAATATAGCTGTAGAATAGTGATATCTTGGTTGTGAATTTTTGTACAGCTGACGAAGAATCTTTATGTACTCAGTAGGGACTCCTTGACTATCAAGGGCTTCCATGACTACTATCTCAATTAAATCAAAGAGCTTCTGTGAATCGATGAAAGTGAGTCAGAGCGGTTTTTCGTACTCTCGCGATACTTCGATGAGGCTTGTTACTGTGTGTATTTGGTCCATCGTACTAAATCCTCTTTGAAACCCTGCTTGATCACATGGCCGTCCTTTCTCTAGTGTTCTGTCAATCCTGTTTAGGATACCTCGAGTGAAAAGTTTGTAGACGACAGACAATGAGCAGATTGGGCGATAGTTGTCGATATCTTTGAGGTTACCCTTCTCGAACATTAGCACGGTCTTGCTGGTCTTCCGTTGAGTAGGGACCTTACATTCAGACAGGTAACGTGTGAAGAACCGAGCCAGTGTGTTTACGAAGACTGGCGGAAGGTTCTTCAGGTGTTCCGGTCTTATCCTGTCCGGAACTGGTGCTGTTCGATTTTTCACCGACGAAATGGTATATCGGATTTCGGGAAGGAGAACCGATAGTACAACATATGCATCCTGCTTTACTTCATATAACGCAAGGTGGACGTAGCTATTGAAGAGATCTGAGTAGTATTCATGAATGATTTTCTCCATTATCCTTCTGGACACTATAACTATTCCGCCTGTGCGTCGGAGTGCAATCATTTTGGTCTTGTAATTAGCGAAGCTTCGGTGGGCTTTGCCAATGTTCTTACCAGCCTCTGCAGCTTCAACCATTACTGCTGCTCTTCTCTCTTTAAAATCTTCTTTTATCGCCAGCATGCATCAAGTTCGGACGTTAGTTCGCGATTG